TGAGACATAAAATGTTCGGCTATTGTGCAGTACAAAACAGGTCAATGTTACACATTTTCAGTTTATTTTTACTCAGGCGGCAATTGGGCGTCAGGCGGGATAGGTTAGTCGTTTAGTATGTGAGCGTCTCTATGGTATTATCCATTTTTCTGTACGGAGCGGAGACCTGGACCCTTAAAGTGGCTGATTGCAAACGTGTGGATGCTTTCGATATGTGGTGCTGGAGATGAATGCTCCGGATACCTTGGACAGCGAAGAGAACCAATGTGTCTATCTTAGACCAACCGCAGATCAAGACAAGACTGTCCACACTCTGCGTCCGTGCATTCGAGTATTTCGGTCATATTGCTCGGAAAACACCTGATAGCCTATTCGTGACTTTTCGTGATTTAGAGACTATTCGTGACAGGGAAGATCGAGGGAAAGAGACCGCGCAGGCGCAGTCCGACAACGTGGTTCGACCAAATCCGCACCGCACTAGAGATCCCATTCCACGAAGCCCTTCATGCGGCCAGTGATCGGAGGGACATTACAAGAAGTAAAATCCTATCGAAATATAATGGTCACGACCCTCAGAAGCGACGCGAGGAGGGGTAAGCCCTTACCATCTTCAGCCACTGATTCCCTTAAACTCTGTGCCCCGCCAGATACATGAGCCCCGTACGGGTACGGCCCCCGACGGACCCCCGGTTGCTCCGTCCCAAAAAACAGGTTATTTCATTGATTGATCAAGATAACATTATTTGCTTCAATGCCAATTACAGATAAGACGACATTTAAAAGGCATTGATATCTCAAAAGTATTTTTTGTTCGTTTCCACCATTTGATTGGTCTTGTTGATTATAATAAGGAATTGTTGCGACATAATTGGATTGGGTTTGTGTGCAATTCGTTAACTTAGTATTAGCTTCGGCTACTATGATTCTGATACGATCTAAACGTTTTTCTGTGCGCATAAGCCGATAGGCAATTATTAATAAAACTTATTTAGTGACGGGAATGAAGAAGCAGATAACATGTTCTGTCTGTATTGTCGCGAAGCATTCATTTCTTCTTAGGTCTACCTCTTTCTCTATATCCTTCCACGTTCATATTTAACACTCTCTTACTAACCTTATTTTCATTTCATCTCATAATCTCATAACATGTCCATACCAAACGCGCACTTCTCAGCTTCTCTGTCACAGGTGCCACTTTCAGACTTCCTCTAAAATATTATAAACCAATACATAATATCATTATTATTATATAAATATAAAATATTGTTATATTGTAATATAAGTCTGTAATGTTCTACGAATGGCCGTCGGGGCAGAAAAGTTCTTGAGTGGGGACCGCGTATCAGAAGACGTAGCGTGGGTAGGCCTCCCACAAGATGGACCGAAGACCTATTGAGGTTCCTGGGGATCCGCTGGATGTAGGCAGCGCAGGATCAATCTTTGCGGTGAGGCTTGGGGGAGGCCTATGCCCAGCAGTGGACTTCTGTGGGCTAATAGAGTAGAATAGACATGTTCTACTACCTCTGTTCAGATTTGACAATTTTAAGGTACGCTCGAGAAAAAAGTTACTATGGGTAGGCCAATATATTAGTTCCCAGCGAAGGTGTAGTTCGAGCGCGGAGGCTCCACTCTCGGCGGTCCGTGCTGGAGGCGTGGTCTCGCCGCTTGGTGGACCCGTCGGCCGGCCTCCGAACCGTCGAGGCGGTCCGCCCGGTTCTCGCGGACTGGGTGGGCCGCGACCGCGGATGCCTCACCTTCCGGCTAACGCAGATGCTTACCGGCCATGGTTGTTTCGGCCGGTACTTGCACAAGATAGCCGGAAGGGAACCGACGGCGCAGTGCCACCAATGCGCGGACCGCGACGAGGAAGACACAGCGGAACACACGCTGGCGCGTTGCTCTGGATTCGACGAGCAACGCGCCGCCCTCGTCGCGGTCATTGGAGAGGACCTCTCGCTGCCGCGCGTCGTGGCTACGATGCTCGGCAGCGACGCGTCCTGGAAGGCGATGCTCGACTTCTGCGAGTCCACCATATCGCAGAAGGAGGCGGCGGAGCGAGAGAGGGAGAGCTCTTCCCTTTCCGCACCGATCCGTCGCCGTCGAGCCGGGGGCCGGAGGCGGGAATACGCCCGTACGTCCCGGCCCCTGTAGGTGGCGGCCTCCCCCCGGTGAAGGTCAAGGGGCGACCTGAGGGGGTGAGGCCGCGCGGCGCGCTACCAGCACTCTAGCGCGC